ACTCAGGATATTCAGTGACTCTGAGTGTCTGAAGAGAACAGATTTGTGGCTTCACAGGTCAAAGTTGTGTAATGAAGTTGATTCKGTGCTTTCTGAAAATGAATATTTTTACACTTTTAGCATCATTTTAGTTTAATTTTTCTGACTCTTCTTTCCAAGATTTATGTTTGTTCTAGGCTTTTAAAAAAGGTGTCAAATATGCCATTTTATAATAGAACACCTTTATATACACTTACACCAGGATTACAGGTAATAAAGATGCAAATTAATACACAATTTACAATTATAACTTGAATTGAAGCTGCTATCATGAAGTTTTTTATGGAATTTGAAGGGCTGTTGCCTGTTGCTGTGGGAGCCTGGGGCACAGTCACCTCCTGGTGAACCCTGGGACCAGCATCACCTGTGCTGTGGGCAGGAATAAGGATTATTGAAATGTTTTTCTTTCAGCTGACCACGGAACAGACACCCTAATTGTGGTCAGGCTCCAGAAATGGAGTGCAGTGGTGGTTTATCCAAGTTGGGAATACAGCTGCTATTTCTAGAGGAGTGGCAGAGGCACATCTGCCATCCCAGCACTTGAACTGGCACTTGCAAAGCCTCTAGTTTTATATTTCCGTGCCCAAAAAAAATGTCTGAATCCTTACCCTGGACCCTTTGCTCTCACGGTTTTGGGGAGCTGCTGTCAGATGGGATTGCAGCAGTGCCAGGGCTGTGTCTGTGCTGGTTTTTCCTCTCACACAGCCCAGGCTGAGGGGCACTCACCCCCTCTCACACATTTCACAGTGGCACTGCTGCAGACACCTTGATGGGAATGGTCTGCTGGGCTTTTTCTGTGTCATCTGGCTTTATCTGCATCTGTCTCTGTCTAACTGTAACCATCTCTGTCTGTGTCTATTTATTTTTCTATATCAATCTCCTTACATATATATCTCTATCTCTGTGTATCTATCTATCATCTATCTATCTATCTATCATCTATCTATCTATCATCTATCTATCTATCTATCTATCTATCTATCTATCTATCTATCATCTATCTATCTATCTAT